CACTTTTTTGTGTTGGTTTTGCACTAGCACGTTTTTTGTACACTTACGGGTTTTTTCGTTTTTTTTCGCACGTTTGCGGACTTTAAAAAAAAATAGATATAACGCTAAAGGTTTGCTCAGCGCTGTACATTATAGTGGGGGACAGAACATGGGACAATACAGTAACAAAACAAAACACGAGGGATTCAAGGGCCCTGCTCTTTTGAGCTTACAATCTAGGAGGGAGGGGATAGTGGTACAAGAGGAAATGGCTGTGGGGGATGGAGTGGTAGGAGGAGTGGAGGAGATCGGCTGTTAGGTGAGGGTGGGGTAGGCTTCCTTGAAGGGATGGGTTTTCAGAGTGTGCCTAAAGGTGAGGAGGGTAGGTGACAGTCTGATGGATTTGGGTAGTGAGTTCCAGAGGATGGGGGAAGTCCTGGAGAAGTCCTGCAGTCGGGAGTGGGAGGTGGAGACCAGGGAGCTAGAAAGAAGGAGGTCTTGTGAGGAGCGAAGAGTACGGGTTGGGTGGTATTTGGGTATCAGGTCGGTGAGGTAGTTTGGGGCAGCGTTATGAATGGCTTTGTATGTCTGTGTTAGTAGTTTGAATTTAATGCGTTGGGCAATCGGGAGCCAGTGGAGGGAATGACAGAGGGGGGTGGCAGAAGCGGAGCGGTTGGTAAAGTGGATGAGTCTGGCCACTGAGTTCAGGATAGACTGAAGCGGGGATAGTCTGCAATGAGGTAGGCCGGTGAGAAGGGAGTTGCAGTAGCCCACATGTGAGATAATAAGGGAGTGTACGAGTTGTTTAGTAGTAGTGTCTGGAGTTAGGAACGAACGTATTTTGGAGATGTTGCGGAGGTGGAGCCTGCATGAGTTTTCCAACGATTGGACATGGGGTTGGAAGGACAGGTTTGAGTCTAGAGTGATACCTAGGACTTTGGCTTGCGGGGTGGGACTGATGGTGGCGTTGTGATGGGGAGGGGGGGGGGGGCACGGGCTGGGGGGGGAAATCAGGAGCTCGGTTTTGGAAAGGTTCAATTTGAGGAAATGGAGCGACATCCAGTCTGATATGTCGTTCAGTAGGTGGGGGTAATACGGGCGGAGAATGAAGGGATGAGGCGAGGGGTGGAGATGTAAATTTGCGTGTCATCGGGCATAGAGGTGATAGTTGAAGCCGTGGGAGTGTATCAGTTTGCCAAGGGAGGAGGTGTAGATGGAGAAGGGAACCGAGGACCGAGCCTTTGGGAACTCCAACAGAGAGGGGGAGAGAGGGGGAGGTGGTAGCATTATAGGTAACGCTTAAGGAGCGTTGGGATAGATAGGAGGAGAGCCAGCAGAGAGCGGAGTCTCTGATGCTGAGGGAGTGTAGTTTGTTAAGGAGGAGGGGGGTGTGTCGACTGTGTCGAAGTCCGTGGAAAGGTCGAGGAGTAGGAGGACTGAGTAGTGGCCATTAGCTTTGGCGGTTTAGCAGGTCATTAGTGATTTTAAGTAGGGCGGTTTCGGTGGAGTGTAGGGGACAGAAGCCAGACTGTAGTGGATCTAGGAGGTTGTTGTCAGTGAGGTGGGCGCTTAGGCGATTGTAGACTAAGCGCTCAAGGAGCTTGGAAGTAAATGGCAGCAGGGAGATGGGTCTAAGGTTGTTCAGGTCGATGGGGTCCAGGGAGGGTTTTTTGAGTATGGGGGTGATGTGCGCGTGCTTTAGGGGGGAGGGGAATGCGCCAGTAGAGAGGGAGAGATTGAAGATGTGGGTGAGGGAGCGTAGGATGGAGGAGGAGGGTGACCGAGGAGTTGTGTTGGGACAGGGTCAAGGGGGCAAGTGGTGAGGCGGGCTTTTGAGAAGACCTTAGTGACCTCCTCAGTGGTAGCAAGGCTGAAGGAGTGGAGTGTTGGGGAGGTTATAGTGTGTGGGACGTTAGGTGTAGTGGGGGGGGGTAGGGCGGTTGCGAGGTCAGAGGAGAGAAGAGTTGGTGGGGTTATGGTGGGAGGGAGGTTAGGTGGGGAGGTAGGTTGAGCATTGGCGATGTCCTTACGGATTGCGTCGATCTTATTTTGGAAGTGATTGGCAATCTCGTGGGCGGTGTGAGTGAGGTACTGGGTGGGGGTGGGGGGGGAGAGAGTAGGGAGTTGAAAGTGGAGAAGAGCTGGCGAGGACAGGTGGAGAGGGTGTTGATGAGGGTTACAAAGTAGGCTTGTTTGGTGGCATGGAGGGAGGAGGAGTAGGTGAGGAAGGTTGATTTGTAGAGGGAGAATGCTTGAGGGGATCTGGTTTTGCACCATAATCGCTCCAGCGCACGACTGCGTCATTTAAGATTTTTAGTGTGGTCGTTCTGCCAGGGTTGAAGCGGTCGGGGTCTAATGCTACATGTGTTTAGGGGTGCTAAGGAGTCTAGGGTAGCTGACAGCGAGTCGTTTATACGCAGTAGCAGCCAGGTCAGAGCATGACAGTGGAAGCATACTGTCCTACAGACGGTCAGCTGCAGAGTGGAGAGGGGCCGGGTTCAGGTTGCGGAGGTTACGGCTGGTGATGGTTTGACGTTTAGGGGGGGGGGGCATTATATGACGGGGAGATAGAGAACTTAATGAAGTTGTGGTCAGAGAGAGGGAAAGGGGTGTTTGTGAGGTTGTGGAGGGTGCAGAGATGGGAGAAAAAACGAGGTCCAGGGTATTCCCATTGGTGTGGGTGGAGGACTGTGTGCACTGTGTGAGTGCAAAAGCAGAGGTTAAGTGGAGGAGTTGGGATGTGGCCAGGTTGTTGACATTGATAGGGATATTGAAGTCTCCGAGGATGATGGTGGGTAGCTCAGAGGAGAGGAAGAAGGGCAGCCAGGCGGAAAAGTCGTCAAGGAAGCGGGATAGGGTCCAGGAGGCCGATAGATTACTGCAATCCTCAGAGGGGTGGGAGAGAAGAGTCGGATGCAGTGGGCTTCGAAGGAGGAGAAGGATAGAGAGGGGGGGTTTGGGAGGACCTGGAAGGTGGTCAGCGGTGACAAGAGCATGCTGACCCACCACCTCTACGGCCGCTTGGTCTGGGTGAATGGGACCAGACGAGACCTCCATAGGAGAGTGCTGCAGGGGAGGTAGAGTCAGTGGCTTGGATCCAGGTTTCAGTGACCGCTAGGAGGTTGAGGGAGTGGGAGATAAAGAGGTCATGGATGGCGGTGAGCTTGTTGCAAACCGATCGGGCGTTCAGGAGTGCAACCGAGAGTGGAGGGATGGATGCGGGGGAGGAGGGGACAGGTATAAGGTTGAGGGGGGTTGCGGCGGTTCGTGGGGTTAGGAGGGTGCCTAGTAGGTAAGTGAGGTAGAGAAGGACCAGGGTTTGGGGAGAGGTTAGGAGAGGTTAGGAGAAGAAGAAGGTTGAGGAAAGTAACATGGGAGCGGATGTACACGAGTGCACATGCCTTCCTGTCCTGGTGTTTGGGTCAGCAGGAGAGTGAAGTATCAGCAGGAGGTGATGAGAGCAGTAGTAGGGAGATGGTAGCAGTGAGGGTGAGATGTACAAGTTTTGGGGTGGAGCAGAGGGGAAAAGAAATGAGATTTTGGGAACACAAGAAAGTGATATGAAAAGGAGGAGTAGAGGGGACATATTAAAAAGGTACTCGGAGTGGGACTCTGCAAGAGATGTTTCCCAGGGTGTTTGCTTGCAGTCTGTCCAGCATGCAGTAGAGTGTCTTGCTGTTGTTGTATCTTCCTGCTGCTTGAGTTCTCCTGCTTTAGTTCAACTGCTGTGTTTAACTGCTTCTTCTTAGCACTCCATCAACGCAGCACTCACGCAATGCAGCACCCCCAGCAGAGACTATGTCCCCCATCAGTGATCTCCCCCCATGAGCTGATCTAAATTTATAGGGAGATGCTCAAATGAACATTATATATAGACAAATATCTGACACAGCAATTCCCCCGGGGTCACTTACTGTCTGCTGGCTGGTGGAGGGATATGTCTGTATAGTCTCAGACCCAAGTCACTGAGCGCCATCTCAGGAGATGGGAGGCAGCGGGGTGGGACCTCTGCAACCTACCAATTTAACCTACCACTGATTGCTGAATACCAATAGTATGAGTCCTGACCCTTACACTTTATAATTTATATTATACATTACATACTCCTGACCCCTGCACTATATACTCTATATTGTACATTACATACTCCTGACCCCTGCACTATATACTCCATGTTGTACATTACATACTCCTGACCCCTGCACTATATACTCTGTGTCGCACATTACATACTCCGGACCCCTGCACTATATACTCCATGTTATACATTACATACTCCTGACCCCTGCACTATATACTCCGTGTTGTACATTACATACTCCTGACCCCTGCACTATATACTCCATGTTGTACATTAAATACTCCTGACCCCTGCACTATATACTTCATGTTGTACATTACATACTCCTGACCCCTGCACTATATACTCCGTGTTGTACATTCCATACTCCTGCTCTCCCCCCTCCCCCACTGCTATATATACACATAATATGTCTTCTCCTCTGTTCCCCCCATTTCCTACCAGCTGGACATTTTAGATTGGATGATGTGATTGGAGCACAGACTGTTACATGGTGATAATAATGTGATCACATCCTCCAACCAGAAAGTGATAATGGGGGAGGAGCCAATACCCCAATGATGCTGGTCTTCAGGATGGGGAGGAGCCAATACCACAATGATGGTGGTCTTCAGGATGGGGAGGAGCCAATACCCCAATGATGGTGGTCTTCAGGATGGGGGAGGAGCCAATACCCCAATGATGGTGGTCTTCAGGATGAGTCCAGTCTTCCTCTTGGTTGTCCTCCCCCCCATCCTCACTCTCTGACCTCTGGTGGGGCTCCTGTCTAGTAATCCTCTTTGTCTTTGTATTTTAGTCCATAGCCGGGAGATGAGGAAAACCTCCGAGGATTGTCTCACTTTGTCTCCAGACTGGAAAGTAGAAGATGAGGACATCACACAGTATAGTCCAGGAGAAAACCCGCCTCCCTCCAATGTCCATCCGGCACCACCCAGTGTAGATGGACCATCGGATTCCTCGTATCCTGAGGACCCTCCGATTGTGCGGGACCGGGCTGGCCTTCCAACAGGGAAGAGCTTCTCTTGTACTGAGTGTGGGAAGTGCTTTTCAAACACATCCAATTTCTACAGACATCAAAGATCTCACACTGCAGAGAAGCCACATTCTTGTTCTGAGTGTGGGAAATGTTTTTCAGAGAAGTCCAATCTTTACAAACATCAGAGACTGCACACGGGGGAAAAAACCATATGCCTGTTCTGAGTGCGGGAAATGTTTTTCAAACACATCCAATTTCTACAGACATCAGAGATCTCACACGTTAGAAAAGCAGTATTCCTGTCCGGAATGCGGGAAATGTTTTTCACAGAAGTCCCATCTTTATTATCATCAGAGATTGCACACGGGGGAAAAGCCTTATGCCTGTCCTGAGTGTGGGAAATGTTTTTCAATGAAGTCCAGTCTTGATACACATCAAAGACTGCACACGGGTGAGAAACCGTATTCTTGTCCTGAGTGTGGGAAATGTTTTTCAGTGAAATCTAACCTTTACACACATCAGAGACTGCACAAAGGTGAGAAGCCGTATTCCTGTCCTGAGTGCGGGAAATGTTTTTCAAAGACGTCTAATCTTCACAGACATCAGAGATCGCACACGGGGGAGAAGCCACGTTCCTGTCCTGAGTGAGTTCCTCACTGAAGTCCTGTCTTCCTGTACATCAGGGGTCCCACACAACCCTGGAGGTGTATTAGTGCCTTGAGTGCAGGTAATGTCTTCTAGATGAATGTTGCTGGACATCCCAGCTCTTATATGGGAAAGAAGCACAGCCTGATATACACCTCAGATATGCTCCATGGCTGATCTTCATCATTGAAGAAACAGTTCATAAGGAGGTCAGAGGTCACCAAAGACGTGGATGAAGTGTGGGACAGGGTTGGCCATTGATAGCAGGAGAAGAATAAAGATGGAGTCCTGACCTGTCATTGGCTGAGTGGATTTTGTGGGGGGGAGATTTCACAAACACTTAGAGGTCTGTGACAAAACTATCATGTACATCCCCGTGTACAGAGCACAGGGGTTGGGAGAATGTTATGTAGATAACATTCTCCCGACCCCTGCGCTCTGTATACGGGGATGTACATAATTCTCCTGACCCCTGCGCTCTGTACACGGGGATGTACATAACATTCTCCTGACCTCTGCGCTCTCTATACGGGGATGTACATAACATTCTCCCGACCCCTGCGCTCTGTACACGGGGATGTACGTAACATTCTCCCGACCCCTGCGCTCTGTACAAGGGGATGTACGTAACATTCTCCCGACCCCTGCGCTCTGTACACGGGGATGTACGTAACATTCTCCCGACCCCGGCGCTCTGTATACGGGGATGTGTACAGAGCGCAGGGTTGGGAGAATGTTATGTACATCCCTGTGTGCAGAGCGCATGGACGGGAGAATGTTATGTTCATCCCCGTGTACAGAGCGCAGGGTTTGGAGAATGTTATGTACATCCCCGTGTACAGAGCGCAGGGGTCGGTGGAATTTTATGTACATCCCCGTGTACAGAGTGCAGGGGTCAGGCGTTTTTCATACATAGCTTAATATACATTATGCAGTGCAGTATGATTTTGGGGTCTTTGCTGTAGATCAGGGGTGTCAAACTTGCGGCCCTCCAGCTGTTGCGGAACTACAAGTCCCATCATGCCTCTGCCTTTGGGAGTCATGCATGTATCTATCAGTCTTGCAATGCCTCATGGGACTTGTAGATTGGCAACAGCTGGAGGGCCGCCCGTTTGACACCCTTGCTGTAGAGGATCGTTCCAGCCTGGAGGGGGGATCTACTGCCAGAGGCCTCAGAAGGTCTCGAATGTTGAGACCTGGGTTCTGCCAAGAGCTGACTGGGGGGCCGTCTACAGAAGGTCTGGTCTGGTATCATGGAGGAAGGCTGCTAGCTGCTTCTGGGCCTTGTGAGTACAGACACCACTAAAAGTCTGAGAGACTGTGTGCTACATAACCCCCCTCTGGTTCTAGAGAGTCAGCTGCGGGTCTAGATAAAGGGGGCCCCGGCTGGTGTTCTGAAGAGCTTTGTCCATGCTGCTGCTCTTACATTGGTGGCCAATGGGAGAAGGACCCCCTTATATCGGTCAGTGTAGTGGTCCCTTACATTGGTGACCAATGGGAGAAGGACCCCCTTATATCAGTGGTCAGTAGGAGAAGGATCCCCTTATATCAGTGGTCAGTGTACCGATACCTTACATTGGTGACCGATGGAAGAAGGACCCCTTATATCAGTGGTCAGTGTAGTGGTCCCTTACAATGGTGACCGATGGGAAAAGGACCCCTTATATCAGTGGTCAGTGTAGTGGCCCCTTACATTGGTGACCGATGGGAGAAAGACCCCTTATATCAGTGGTCAGTATAGTGGTCCCTTACAATGGTGACCAATGGGAGAAGGACCCCTTATATCAGTGGTCAGTGTAGTTGTCCCTTACATTGGTGACCTATGGGAAAAGGACCCCTTATATCAGTGGTCAGTGTAGTGGCCCCTTACATTGGTGACCGATGGGAGAAAGACCCCTTATATCAGTGGTCAGTATAGTGGTCCCTTACAATGGTGACCAATGGGAGAAGGACCCCTTATATCAGTGGTCAGTGTAGTTGTCCCTTACATTGGTGACCGATGGGAAAAGGACCCCTTATATCAGTGGTCAGTGTAGTGGCCCCTTACATTGGTGACCGATGGGAGAAAGACCCCTTATATCAGTGGTCAGTGTAGTGGTCCCTTACAATGGTGACCGATGGGAGAAGGACCCCTTATATCAGTGGTCAGTGTAGTGGTCCCTTACAATGGTGACCGATGGGAGAAGGACCCCTTATATCAGTGGTCAGTGTAGTGGCCCCTTACATTGGTGACCGATGGGAGAAAGACCCCTTATATCAGTGGTCAGTATAGTGGTCCCTTACAATGGTGACCAATGGGAGAAGGACCCCTTATATCAGTGGTCAGTGTAGTTGTCCCTTACATTGGTGACCGATGGGAAAAGGACCCCTTATATCAGCGGTCAGTGTAGTGGCCCCTTACATTGGTGACCGATGGGAGAAAGACCCCTTATATCAGTGGTCAGTGTAGTGGTCCCTTACAATGGTGACCGATGGGAGAAGGACCCCCTTATATCAGTGGTCAGTGTAGTGGTCCCTTACATTGATGACCAATGGGAGAAGGACCCTGTCACAGTTGGCGTTCTCCCCACCTCCGCTGGCCCGCATCTGGAATGACCCCCTGCTGTCTCTCGTCCTGCCGCGGCACTTTTGAAGCCGAGCTGCGCAGGACGAGAGGCGCGGCCCCTCTCACCTCTGCCACTATCTTATCCCCATCCGGCGAGGCCGGAGGGGAGAAGATAGCGAGGTTCACACCTCTCTGCTGAGAGGTGCGAACCTCCTGCAGAGATGTTCCGGACCACGGCGTCCGGCTGAGGCACGAGGAGTTCCTGTGCTTGCGGATGCCTCAGGACAAAGGCTGCGCTCACAAGAGTGCGACCCGTATCCAGAGGGGCGTGCCTCATTGCCAGGACGACTGGGAAGCGTCCTGCATCGGCTTAAGAGACTGATGCCGGGCTATTCCTGTTCATTCTCTTCCGCTGCCAAGCCACTGAGGGATCCCAGCTGCGGCGGGACCCTCATGGCCCACTCTGCAAGCCCTGAGACCCCAAGGATAAGGGGGATAGCACAGCAAGCTGCCCCAGAGCCCTGAGACCCCCAAGGATAGGGGGAGAGCCTCTGCAAGCTGCCAAAGCTCTGAGACCCCCAAGGATAGGGGAGAGCCTCTGCAAGCTGCCGCTCTGCACAGCCCAAGCTAAGGGGGAGAACCACACCAGCTGCCCTTTGCAGACACCCAGGACTCGGGGGAATACTACCACGGACTACGCCACGCATACTCCTGGATTCTGGGCAGGTACTTGTGCCATACTATCTTGTCTCCCTGTGGACCCGGGCGCCCTGTCGGATCCGTGAGTGTATGCCCCCGTTTACCCTGAACTGTTCTTGTACTCCCTCTCTCTCTGTTTGGATTACAAACTGCTGTAAAGACTTTAACTTTGCCCCTGGGGCTGGACTACAAGTATTTGGGCCCTCTCCTTGCTATTTCCATACTGGGCCCTGTCCTACTCCCTGCAATTCCCCTACTGAGTGACTGTCATTTGTCTCAATAAAGCTTTGTGTGTTTGCCATCCACCTTGTGTGTTCTGTCCTGCCTACCCTCCATCACAGACCCCCTTATATCAGTGGTGGGTGTAGTGGTCCTTTACATTGGTGACCAATGGGAGAAGGACCCCCTTATATCAGTGGTCCCTTACATTGGTGACCAATGGGAGAAGGACCCCCTTATATCTGTGGTCAGTGTGGTTGTCCCTTACATTGATGACCGATGGGAGAAGGACCCCCTTATATCAGTGGTCAGTAGGACGACATTCTTGCCTTGTTATGAAGTGGAGATACTAACTTTCTTACAGATCTTTCATACCAGCTGTTACTAAGGAACCTCTAGAACCCTTTAGAGGAACCCCTAGAACCCTTTCGGGATGCTGTCATATATAGAAGCAGTAGAAATACGAGTTCTATATCTGATTTTCAGCTCCCATCATACAGGGAAGGACAGCCTAATGTTCTGCCATTCATCCCAACAGCCAAAGTTTAGTCTGAAACGAGGTTCATACTGAGCTCAGCCCGAGATACCAACTGCTACTGAAATAGTTCATTACTCCAAACTCCAGAACCCTTGGGAGGACCCCTGGCTGAGAAAGACTGGACTAGGCAGTCCTATATTTTGTCCCCCTTTGTGGGAGTGGAGGTGACCCCTCTATGAGGACATACAGTCCATCCACACCCAGCACAAGGCCGGGGTCACACTAACAGATGGTTCTCGGGGATGCAGTTCCTCTGAGCTCCACAAGGTGGTGATCTCACTTCTACCCAGACAGGAAGTCTCTATGGAAGACAGGAAGTGATGTCAGGTAGAGCCAAGAAATTCCATAAGGTACGACCTAGAGAGGACATGCTGGAAGTGGCAGCAGAGGAGGTAATAATTTTATATTTACAAGAAACTCTGTATAATTCTTACTTCAGGTTGTTAAAATTATCTCTCTATAAGAAAGCCAGAATAGATAAAATGACGACACGAATGAGGATGGAGGAGGATCAGAGTCACATGACTGAGAGGATTCTAAACCTCACCCTGGAGATCATCTACCTGCTGACCGGAGAGGTGAGGAGGATTCTGGGAGGTCACATGACATCACTATCATCTCTAATAATAAAACACAGACCTGACCGGAGAGGTGAGGAGGATTCTGGGGGGGTCACATGACATCACTCTCATTTCTATTAATAAAACACAGACCTGACTGGAGAGGTGAGGAGGATTCTGGGAGGTCACATGACGTCACTCATCTCTATTAATAAAACACAGACCTGACTGGAGAGGTGAGGAGGATTCTGGGAGGTCACATGACATAACTCTCACCTCTATTAATAAAACACAGACCTGACCGGAGAGGTGAGGAGGATTCTGGGAGGTCACATGACATCACTCCTATCTCTATTAATAAAACACAGACCTGACCTGACCGGAGAGGTGAGGAGGATTCTGGGAGTCTAACATGATATTCCTATTGGTTCCCCAATA